GTCAAGGCCAGTTGTTTTTTTTTTTGTTTTTTGTTTTTGTTTTTGTTTTTGTTTTGAGGGGGATGTTCTTTAGTCTGTGGACGTGAAGAAGAAAAAGTATTTCTGTGAGGGGAAAATATGAAGGCCTTTCCAAACTGACTCTACCATCGGCCCGACTGTAGCGTCCCCCGGGCCTTGGACCCCTTCCCTTTGACCCTTTCATTCTGCCTCATCATCTGTTTTACATCTTTGTTTCTTGTTCCGCTGTAGTTATTTTTCACTCACTGTTTTCCTCCCCACTACCCTATTCATCATGAGGGCACAACAATCTCAAGATCATTATTTCTCTGACAGATCCAACCAGACAGAAGGAAATAATGAAAAAGGAGAATCTGGATGAGGTAAGTATCACCTGGGCATCCCTCAGGTGGGTCGTGTCTGGCATAACGCTGGGCTTCTTAACTCCCTGTTCAGATCTTCTCTCCTTGTGGTTCCTCCTTCCAGAGACCTGCTTCCCTTTATTATGCTCAACTACAACATCCCCGAAGGAAATCCACCAGCATTCGAACCGCAGACAGCTCCACGGTGTATGCAGTCATCGTCTGACACCATTTCCATCATTTTTCACTCATGCCTTAAGAGGGAGAGGGAGAGAGAGAGATACACACACTATTTCATGACCTACAAACACTGCTCTGTAAAGTACTAGAAGATTATAGTAGACTTTCTACATATTTCCATCTCTAAATGTTTGGCTCAAACGAGATGTTAGCGGAATGCTGATTCTGTTTGATTACCCCTTTTCCTCTCCCACAATAGCATCTCAACACAGACAATGAGACTTGCAAAATAAACTTGTTTGTACTTTCCAATGGGCAACCACAAATCCCCTCACTCTACACAAAGAATACACCGAATAAGGAAAATCATGTGCTATATATAAAAATGTTACCATCTGAGGGAACATCTCTTCTGAAAATTTCATAAGCTTATTGTCTCATTCCCAACATCTGAAGACAAATACAATCTGTCCCGTCCAGCTCCCTGATTTTGCTGGTTTTGGGACTGCCTCTTTGCCGTGGCCCGCTGGACAAGTGTATCTTCAAATTGGGAGAGGCCATGCTGTACTGCCTGCCTCCAGGCTGAACACTCAGATGTCAAGGTTTCCCATCTGTTGAGGTCCATTCCTAAGGCTTTCAGATCCCGTTTGCAGATATCCTTGTATCACAGCTGTGGTCTCCCTCTGGGGCACTTTCCCTGCACTAATTCTCTATACAGGAGATCCTTTGGAATCCGACCATCAGCCATTCTCACGACGTGCCCAAGCCAACGTAGACATCGCTGTTTCAGTAATGTATACCTGCTAAAAACTCCAGCTTGTTCTAGGACTACTCTGTTTTGAACTTTGTCCTGCCAGGTGATGCCAAAAATGCATTGGAGGGAACGCATATGGAACATGTTCAGCTTCCTCTCCTGCCGTGCACAAAAAGTCCAGGACTCACTGCAGTACAGGAGTGTGCTCAGGACACAGGCTCTATAGACCTGGATCTTGGTATATGCTGTCGGGACTAGTTTTTCAACTGTAGGAGTGTCTGCTTTTCTTGTGAACTCAATTATAGGTGCTGTTTTAGATATATACCACCCTAAACAGCCGAGGACCAGGATATGTGAAAGATTGCCTTCTTCAGTATTTACCTCAAGAATTCAAAATTTTCAACGGAGGTCTGTTATGGGTCTCCTGCCCCTCACCCCTGAGGTTGTACTGGTGAGGAGGTGAGACAGGGCTTTCTCTGTAGAAGCAACTCAATTGTGGAATTCCCTCTTTGAAGAAGTTAAGCCAGCCCAGCTACAGCAGCTAATTGTATTGTTTTCAAGAGCTGTTGGTCTCTAGGGTTGGCTTTAATAACTGGCTTATGAAAAAACATTTTGGATCTACTTTTAAACAATGCTTTTTTTTTCTAGTATGAATCATTTTTAATAGCTTTAACTTACTGTAAATTGCTGTGGGATCCCTAGGGGGTAGAAAGGCAATATAAAAATGTTTTAAATAAATAATAAGTCTTAAGAAATCAAAATGTTTGCAGAAATGTGCATGCTCATTAGGGGAACTGTTTGCATTTTTTCCCCCTGAGTTATATGTAGATCAGCCTGATGAACAAAACCAAGCTAGCGGGTTTTGTTGATAAATCTTGGAAGATGTAATTATACAACACAACCTACCACATTCCAGTCTTTCCCTTATAAACACACATACACACACGCATGCACGCACGCATGCACACATGCACGCAAACACACACACACACACACACGCACGGCTTTCTGTTGTTGTGCGAGGATTTGAATCTTGGCCTATTATGCTATCCGCTACACCACAATGATCTAAGAATTAAATCATTTAACACACAGGTTTAGGGGTCTAATAGCATTTTTCAAACACTTGAAAGGCAATCATTCAGAGGAAGGGCAGGATCATTTCTGGATCATCCTGCAGTACAGGACACATAACAATGGGCGCAAGCTACAGGAAGCCAGATTTGCATTTTTCAAACGCTTGAAAGGCTGTCATTCAGAGGAGGGGCAGGATCTTTTCTTGATCATCCCAGAGTACAGGACATGAAACAATGGGCACAAGCTACAGGAAGCCAGATTTAGGCTGAATATCAGGAAAAACCTCTTAACTGTTAAAGCAGTACGACAATGGAACTAGTGACCTCAGGAGGTGGTGAACAATCCAACACTGGAGACATTAAAGGGAATATTAGACAACCATCTATTAGCTGGTTGGATTTAGATTCCTGCCTTGGTCAGGGGGTTGGACTTTCACCCACCTTTCTCCTATAAAAAGACCTAGGGTGACTTGAATATTAAGCAAATTAATAATATTACATTAAGAACATTAGGTGAAGCATGACTAAAACAGATTTAGAAGCAACAAAAGGCAAACCATCCCATTTTAAAACCACTCTTAAGCAGTCAGTCACTAAAGGAAAAGTGACAGAGAGAGGCAATTTAGAAGGAACAAAAGGCAAACCATCCCATTTTAAAGCCTCTCCTAAGCAGTCGGTCACTAAAGGAAAAGTGACAGAGAGAGGCGTCTTGGCCTGCTTGTGGAAGGACGGCAACAAGAAGACCAGCCTGGCGTCCTGTGGGAAGGAGTTCCAGAGTCTGGGAACAGTGGCAGAGAAGGCCCTTTGAGGGCACAGGGCACCTGTGAGGATGATGGGACAGAGACACAATTCCCAGAATTCACAACAGAGAGTCGTAGGCGTTGTAGTCCCAGAAACTGTTTTGTTTTGTTTTTAACCTCTGCCAAGTTTAGACAGAAGGGACGTTCCTTTACTGCCAATCTTGAAGACCTGGGTACCATAACTGGGAACACTTGCTGAGCTTGTGTTTATACCTTTAGTGCTGAAGTGGCATTAAGAGGCACCCACCAGCACGAAGCGGGAAGAAAGAGAGGCTCTTTAGGGACTGACCTCCCACATTGCTGCTCTAAATCATGAAGTGTGAAAGAAGCTTCTTGCATTGTCGGAGTTTCCTTTCAGTGACTGAGAGTAGATGGTAGGACACTAAACATGGTAACAGATGAGAGCTTTTGAATTTAGCCACCACAGCTTCCTTTTCTTGCTTCCTTTTTCTGCTCATCATCTTTCTACAGCCTCCTCGCTCCTCGCCTTCCTCCTCCTCCTTAATCTTAATGCCATAACACCTGCCTTTAAGATGTCCCTGGACTTCGTGTTGGTTCTGCTGCTTAACGCTGGCAAACGTTTGGAGAGTAATCTCCCGAGGTACTTTTCTATTTGCGTGGCTTTGCACATTGAACTGTGAAATCCCTCATAGTTTATTACTCATATTTGAATTCTAATATTTGAATTCATTGTGATTTTGAACATATGTATTTCTACATGGTCTTGAGGACAAAGGTAGGCAACAGGGATACTGGCCATTTTAAAAAATTCTGCACTGATACCTATGAATGAACATGTGCGAATTTAAAGAAATCAATGCCTGAGGAAGGGGGCTTGTCCACGAAAGTTCACATTAAAATACAGGAAATCAATGCCTGAGGAAGGGGACTTGTCCACGAAAGCTTTTAGTCTTTCATGTGCCATAGCGTTTTTAGTCTGCTGTCCTACTCTTTGGTGAGGAAAGTCCTCCTTTTTCAGGCTATCTGATGCATGAAAACTCATTTGCTTTTACAGTACATAGACGTGGACTGATCCTGAGGCATCACATAGGAAAGTTATGTCTAAATATAGCTAGTAATCATGATCATCATCGTGCCACCAAGTCAATTCTGACTTGCGGCGACCTTTTTCCAGGGTTTTCCAGGTAGCCTATGTTCAGAAGTGGTTTTCCATGCCTTTCCTCTGGGGGTGCCCTGGGACTGTGTAGTTTGCCCAAGGCCACATAGGCTGGCTCTTCTTCGATGCGCCAATGGGTAGAAGTTTGAACTCCAAACTTCTGTCTCTGCAGCCAGATACCTAAGCCACCAAGCTAGCCAGCCAGCCATATAGCTAGAAAACAGTAAATTTCTTCTCCCGGTACTGGTCCTTATGGAGCTGAAACACAAAGCTCAGGGGAGTGGGGATGGATTTGATGTGGGTTTTTTTTAAAGACTACATCTCACAGAATCTCACAGCTAGCAGGATCACTGGTCATACTGGCTGAGGGAATACTGGGAGTTGCAGGGTTTTTTTTAAAAAAAATTAATATAACAAAATATAACAAAAACAAAATGACAAATAGGATTACAACTGAAATATACAGTGTAACCTACCACCATCAGGAATATAATTTTATATACTGTGTATTCTCATCGATATGTTTCATCTTTATTTATGTCACGTGCCCCATCTCTTTCTAAAATCATGATGATTCTTGTGTTGACGTAAAAGCGTTATATTTTGTAAATTCGTATTCTATATAAGGTTCCAGATCCCATGAAAACTATTTCCCTTCAATAAACCTTTTCTAACTTTGAGTTCACAAGTTGATTTATCGTGAATAGCTAGATTGCACATCTCCTTATACTGTACCGTTCTTCCAACATCAATTGATTCTTATTTTTCCATTTCTTTGCAAATATCCATCAAGCTGCTGTTAACATAATAACAATTAGTTCCATTTCCCCCCCCCCATCTAATTGACTGTTTCCAAATATATTTAACAATGTTAACACTGGACATCTTTGTATATCTGTCCCTAAAATTTATCTAATCTCATTAAATATCGTCGTCCATTCCTTCTATCTCTCTTCACATACCCACCATGAATTATAGTATGCTCCCCCTTTCTTTTTTACATCTCCAACAGCAAGTTGCAGGTTTTTTAAAAGTTACTTTTTCCACCTCAGCCAAACCATGGCTACATATTATGGCCTCCATGTGAGCATCCTTGGAGCTTCTGGTGCTCATATTGAATCATTCCAATTGAAAATATGTGGCCTTGTGAACACGCAGAAAGACCTGCTACCTGTACATCAGATCTGTGGCAACTACTTCAGAAAATCAATCTGTCTGAGAAAAATATAATCTCTTGACTACTATGCAGTGAGAAATGAGTAGACTGACTAAGTTACAGAAGTTTTCGTTTTCAGTTCCACTGGGGAGTTTTTTTGTTTTTGTTTTTCATAATGTTACTTTTTGACAACTTCCTCCCCAGCATGGGGAATTCCTCCACCCCATGGTTCTGCAGCCAACCAAGTTTTTCCTTACCTCAGACTGAGTATATCAAAGTAGGGGGAAAGTTCTGGTTTTACACAAAAGCTCAGAAGGAGCAGAAAGAGGGACAGATGTTGGACAGCTGAAGGATACAGGCAAAAGGGGGGGAAAAGAGGTAAGTGGCTGTTAAGTGAATATGGTATCCAGGCCTTTCTCTCATTCCTGCCATTTCTGCAGGTGCATTTGAGGGAGACCTGGGAAAGGGCCTTTTCAGTGGCTGCTCCCAGACCTTGGAACTCCCTCCCACAAGAATCCAGGCTGTCCTTCCTTAAGCAAGCAAAGACCTTTCTCCTCAGAAAAGCTTTCTCTTAGTGACTGGCTGTGGGATTTTTAAATAGATTGTTGTCCCTTACTGCTTTGAATGTGTTTTTGATGTTGTTTTTGTTTACCATATTTTAGTTGACGATTTTTGGAATTTGTATACTTACTAGGTTTAACTTTGAACAATGTATTTTAATTGATCTGAAAGCCAGCTTGGATCCTCTTTAAGGAGAATGGCAGAGGAAAAATATTTTAAATACATAAATAAGTGTTGAATGAATGTTATATTTGTGGGGCAAGGCTTGTTATAGGAAGGAAGGAAGGGGTTATTAAGAAAGAGGATGGCGGTATGAGATGGAAAGCAGACGTTCCTTAGCTAACCAGCTTTCTTTAGCCCTTGGACTTATATTTAGAATAGCCCTTGCCCTGAAGCAGATAAAATTTAAAAAAAAAACAGATGTTATTTTGAGGTACTACAGTGCTCAAAACGTCACAAGGTCCAAGAAGTGACTTTTCTAAGTTCTGGTGATAACAGACAAGAGTGCCTTTGAGCATCTGCAGAATTCTTGCTTTCTCTTTGTGTCCCTCTTGAATATGGATGGATTGGAGCAAGTTATAACTGCTGTAGTGAATAAAAATAAGAATTGGTGATATAAGTGTATATATGTATAAGTGGTTAAGACAGTGAGAATGTAAAATTGAAGGTAGACCTTCTTTTATCTGTGTTTTGGACTGCGAAGGTAAACCCCATGTTGTCCAGAAATGCTCACGTGTATTACAAATGCTTCTCCTTTTTATTTTTGGCATATTTAGTGAAAGGTGGGGCATATGTTAATTAAAAGAAGAAAAATAGAAAGGAGACAAGAAAGAGGCCCTGATCAGGACAAAAGTGGCCTTTAAATAAATAAAACAAACAAACGAATAAATAAAAAGGCCCCAGGACACATTTAAAATCCTTTTTCTAAAAATGTTCAAAAGGACATAAACTCTGGTGTATCTCTGTTCAAAGAGGCCATGGCTTAAACACCGTGCTTTCATACTGAGATGCTGATGCAGAAATTACTAATTAAAGAGATACTTCTCAGCTTTATTTATTAATTTCTGGTAAGCCTAGGCCACATACTTTTCATAATATAGCCTTTTCACCCCAAACGAGGAAGGGAAAGTATATGCTTTGATTTGGAGAAGAAAAGGGGGAAAGCTTACCAACTGGCCTAGTGTAGAGGCTGGACTTGATGACCGATAGGGTTCCTTCCAGTTGCGCAGTTTTAAGATGATTATTACCGATAATAATCTCCCAGAAATTTCAGATGGTTTACACACATAATGAGATGGAGATGACAGCGCCAAATTAGGTGGCCCCAAACGTTGTCATTCTTGTCTTACTTTAAACAAACGGAAGGCTAAAATATTCCTTGAAGCTATTAAACTACCTAATTATAGATTTCACTGTGGGGGCAGGGTTGAGATTTTGTGTGTGAGAGACAGAGAGAGATCAGAGAAACAGTTGAGCTTATGGCAAGGAGTTCAGGTGATGGGAGAGCCCAGCTCACCATTGACTGACCAATTAATTCTGTAAGAAAAGAGACTCCTAAAGTTCAACACCCCAGTTCTTAGGATGGCCAGTGGGGATGATGGGAATTGTAGTCCACAAAGTAATCATTAGAGTCCCAATACTGTATTTGTACAGGGACATTAGATTATCCAACTTCTACAAAAATGTAGTGGAGGCTATGTTACTCATAAGACAAACACTGATGATAACAATCAAGCAGTCGACCTTTTAAAAACAAAAAGTAGCGTCTGGGACATTTGGCATTTTGTCATTGAATACTGTATAATCCCCTGCCACTTAGTAGGTCAAACTCAGAAATCTATTTCTGATGAACAAAGCAAGTAAATGACGAGTAAAGCAGGAAAAACACTAGATTTGGTTACCACGGCACCTCTCAATTCAGAAGACAAATGGGCCACCTGGAAAAGAAGATCCAAGGGTTCCACTTTTGAAAAACAAACAAAAACAAAAAGCAATTTAATATCTAGAGATACTTTAATATCTGTACATCTGAAAGAAAAGTAAATGCTTGCCTAAGCAAAAACAGGTTGTCCTTGGTAGCTTCTAAGACTCCTATGGAATGTGATGTTGTTGGAAGGAAGGAAGGAAGGAAGGAAGGAAGGAAGGAAGGAAGGAAGGAAGTTTGGTTCATGAAGGAGAAAAGGTGAAAGGATTCTGTTTCTTCTTCCCATCCTTCAAAACCTTGTTCATCTGTCAGCAGCCAACAGTGGTGCAATTAGAAAATTTTAGATTCTGGACTGAATTTTTCTTACAACCCTCTCCCCTGTGCTGCCCACTCTCATTAGATGGTAATATGTAATGTTTTGCTTATGTCAAAATATGGCAAGTGCATGGGGACCCATACTTCTGCCGCATTTTAGCGATTCAGGCGAATATTTTAGTGAGAAAGAAAGGAACAAGATGCTCTTTTTTCTTTTATTCCCGTAAACCAGTGGTCCCCAATCTTGGGCCTCCAGATGTTCTTGGACTACAAATCCCAGAAGCCTTCACCACCACCTCTGCGGGCCAGGATTTCTGGGAGTTGAAGTCCAAGAACATCTGGAAGCCCAAGGTTGGGGACCACTGCTATAAACAACATGACAAAACTAAGCTGTTCACAGTTGCCCTTCAGCATCTGCCCCTGGGGCAGATATCTCACTCTGTCTAATGTTAGGGCCAGTGTTGCTAAGCCTGAAATTTAGAAGAACTCCCATATAGGTTAGAAAGATACCACAACATTTTGCTGTGGTTTATTCCACACCTGTGTACGGAGTGTGAAAAATAGAAATGTGGGTGGGAAGGGGCTCCTGTGGCACTCAAAAATGTTCCTCCACCTCCTCTACCTTGACTCAGATTGTTCTTCTGTTGCCCGCCACCACCCTTCAGTAACCATCTGCTTCCACTCTTCCCCACATTCGAGAAAGAGGGGGGATTCCCCTGGGGATCTCTCTGTCTCTCTTTCTGACTGCAGGAAAAAAATCCCCCAAATTTTGGAGTCATCGGGTGATAATAAGTGAAGGGAATAAATGCCTGTAGTATCTGGAGAGAGGAAAAAATGAGCCCTCTGTATGAGTACCAGATGCACTGGAGGGTAAATCCAGTCCACTGCAGACTGTGGTCTGAGTAACCAGGAGGGAGATACCAGGGTGGGAATCCCAGAGTTTCAGTTGTTCATTCTCTTCAGGAAGGCTTTCCCTTAGAGTCTGTTTTTCTATTCAGGAGGGTGTTTTTTAAAAATGGATTGTTGTGCCTTACTGCTTTGAATATGTTCTTGGTGTTGCTTTTGTCTACCATTTTTAGTGTGGTATTTCCTTGATCCTTTTTAATATTTATATCCTTACTGGGTTTTTTTTAGCTTTAAATGTTGTATTTTAATGATGTAAAAGGGGAGGTGGAAGGAGCTGTGCATTTCACCCTGAACTCACTAGAGCATAGG